TTGCCATAGCTGCACAGGCAGAAAGCTTCCTGTGGGGGGCGAGGGGGGGGGGGGGGGGGGCGGGGGCTGGGCTCACCGCCGCCGTCCTGTCTCCTCCACAGAAGCGCAAGAGCATGACCAAGCTGCGGGGCCCGAACCCCAAGTCCAGCCGCACTGCCCTGCAGTCCAAGTCGGTAAGGAGCCCCTCTGGGCCGGGGGTGGGCGGGGCTCTGCGGGCTGAGGCGTGACGCACCCCGCCCGTCCCCCAGGAGTCCGAGGACGAGGACGACGAGGACGAGGACGACGAGGAGGAGGAGGAGGAGGAGGAGGAGGACGAGGAGAACGGCGACTCCTCCGAGGACGGTGGGGACTCCTCGGAGTCCAGCAGCGAGGAGGAGAGCGAGGACGGGGATGAGGTGGGCGGCGCTGAGGGGCGGTGCTGAGGGCCGGGCGCTCCTGTGGGGCCCCGGACGACCCCGCGTCCTTTTGTCTGCAGAACGAGGAGGACGAGGACGACGAGGACGACGACGAGGACGACGACGAGGACGAGGATAACGAGTCCGAGGGCAGCAGCTCCAGCTCCTCGTCCTCGGGGGACTCCTCGGACTCGGACTCCAACTGAGGGCGTGGCCGCCCGCCCGGCCCCCGCGTGTTCTGCCCCACCCCCGCCTCCCCACTTTCTTTCTTTCTTTTTCTTTTTTAAACGAAACGTGGTGGGGGCGGGGGGGGGCGGGCCAGGACTCTCGGGCCCGGAGCCACTGCCGGGTCCCCGGGACAGCAGCCATCAGACTGAGCCAGACGGGATGCCGGCCACCACCCGCCCCGCACTTGCGGTTTGGGCCCGGACAGTGGACTGGGTGGGCTGGGGTCCGAGATCGGAGGCGGTGGCCAGAGGAGTTGCCCTGCCAGAGGGGCTGCTGCCCACCGACCCTGCATTGGACCTGGAGGCGGGGAGCGGGGGGCGGGGCGGTGCCGCGGAGCCCCGCACTGCCTCTGCCCTAGCCCTGCCCCACAGGGAGGGCCAGAAGGGTTTTTTATATATGTGTATATATTTTTTTTTTAAGCTCTGAGCTGTCAACGAGACGTTTCCTACCGATTCCGGCTGCCGTCTCTGTTGTCATTTCTGGGAGAGGGAGGGCTTAGGGGGTAGGTCGGGGACTTTTAAAAAGTGGTCCTGGTGTGCGTGGGAGAGTGTGTGTGTGCGTGTGTGTCCTGTACATAGCGTGGGTGCACCTGTGGCTGCACATGGGTCTATTCTGGAGCCCGTGGTGCCATGGGCAGAAGAGGGGTTGGTGACATCCGGGCACGGGCCCTGGGGGACTGACCGGCTGCGGCTGCCCCCCGTGGCCTCCTCGCCGGGCGCTGGCTCCAAGGCCACTCCAGTGCATCCTGCAGCCGGTTGGTCCCCTCCTCCAGGGTTGTGCGTGTCAGCTCCTGCAGGTCCCTGCCAGCCAACAGCAAGGTGGGAAGGGCGAGCCTGGCGTGGACCTGGAAGCCACCCCCTGCGCCTTGAGGGGCCAGCAAGGCTGCAGGACGTTCCCGTCACTGCCACGTGTGTCCCCCCGCCTGGCCTGTGTCCCCCGCCTGGCCTGTTTCCTTTGATTTCTCAGGTCTGTTCCCCCTCTCCCCCGATCCCACAGCAGGGCCTCCTGCAGCTGGGCCCCAACCCTTGCTGGCTGCCCCAGGCCCTTGGTACCCTGATTCCTCAACTCTTCATAAGCCAAACCAGCTCCTCCCCAGATGTTTTTTTCAATTATGCCCAACCTCTATTTAACGGGGACTTCACTTTCCCAGCACCCCCTTCTGAATGAAAGCCCGGAATGGGGAGTGGGGGTCAAGTGGTGGGCAGGGACATGGGGCCCAGACGCTGGGGGGGGTGGGACGGGACCCCCACGCCCACTCCCTCTGCTGGGGTCCTGGAATCAGGCACAGGGTTTATGGTTTTGGTTCCCAGGGGCCCCACAAGGAGCCCCAGTCCGTATTTGAATGCCCTGCACTCTTATGTTTTAGTGGAATATGTTTTCATTTAAAGCAACTTTAAACAGGATACTTTTTTTTTCCTGTTTTAAAAACAGAAATTCTTACAGTACAGACAGGACCGTGGGGAAGCGGGCATTGGTGCTGTAAGAGCTCGCTGAGTGCATTTTGGCACTGGGGTGGGAGGGCCCCCTGCCCCCTTTTTTTCTAATATTTAAGGTGTGTTTTGTAGGTTTCCACAACAGCCACCTTGACTTTGTACCATGGGAGGCGGGAGGGAGTGGCCCAGGGTCTGCCTAAGCTGACGGCCGGCTGTGGACATTTTGTTTTCCCCTTTTTTGTACAATAAAGTGAAAAATGAAGATTTGACTGCTGTTTGGTCACTGGCTAAATGAAAGTGGGTGGCGGAGTGACAGGTTTGATACAGAAAGACTTGTGCTGGCACATGCCTGTAGTCAGGAGGCTGAGACAGAAGGACCAAAAGTTCAAGGCCATGCCGGGAATGTAGCTCAGTGTCACCGCACCTGCCTCAACCGCAAGGCCGAGTTCAGTCCCTATACCAGGAAAATGTAAAATTTCAAGGCCAGCCTGGGCCACTCGGAGAGCCCCTGTCTCAAACAGCCAGGATGTGGCACCGTGGTGGAGCACACCTCCCTGCACAAACCCCCTGTGGGGACCAGGGTCCCCTGCCTCCACCCAGAGCCACACAGTACTGCCAAAACCACCTGGGCCTTGAGGGACGCGGCTGGCCTCATGGACATCTCAGTGCCTGCAGCAGGGAGGACGTGGCCAACCTAACTGTGACCCCAGCACTGCCTTGGCCAGCCGCTGCAGAGCCGCCCCTGCTCCTGGTCAGGTTTCGCCAGTCTCCACTCACCACCCCGTTCTCTTGTCACTGACATGGGCATCAGCATTCCCAGGGGATACTTCTCTGCCTTGGGGTCCGCCCTGTTGATGTCAGCCCCCTCTTTTATGGGGGGTGTGCTTTACACTGAACTATGTTCCCAATACCCACCCATCCCCCTTGGTTTTTTTAAGACAGGGTCTCACTATGTAGTCCAGGCTGGCCTTGAGCTTGCAGCAATCCCGCCTCAGCCTCCCTCGATGCTTGGATCACAGGCATCTGCCACCCGACTCCCCTGTCCATCCTAAAGTATTCACGTCTGTTCCCTGAACCTCCATTTGTGACCCACATGCAACCATTCCAAAAGGTAGCATCCGCAGAGACCCCATGTGGTGACGTGACTGCCCCTCCAGGTCCCATGTTGAAACATTACCGCCATGGGGACAGTGCTGGACTGGTGAGCCTGGAGCTGGAGCAGGGTTAGGACAGGGGCTCCATGTGGTACCATCCCAATGGGCTCTAGATGGATGCTCAGTGATGCCCTCCCTGGCTAGGGAGCTCAGCCAGATCGGGCAGGACCAGACCTGTGGGCCAAGGAAACTAAACTGAGCTGGTTGTGGCACACACCTGGATTCCCAGCACTCAGGAGGCTGAGGCAGCAGGGTTGCCCACTGAGTTTGGAGCCAGCCTGACCACCATAGCGAGACCTAGCATGTGGTCTTCCATCCTCATCCTCAAAGCCCACAGTGGCCTGACTCCATGCTTTTCCTGGAGCTTGGACCCCACGCACCCTTACCCTCGGGGGGATCTCCAGGCACCCTGGACCCCACTAGCCATGAGGTCGCCAACGCACGCACCAGGGATCAGCCTCCACCGTGTCCTCCTTGCACCTCAACGTTTATCCTGTCAACTCACTGGACATCCCACTCCAGCTTCCCCCAGACTGCCGACCTCACCCTAGCCGCATTCCCAGGCTGCTCAAGGCCACTCCAACTCAGCCTCTGTGAAGATCTAGAATCATCCTCCTGCGTGAAGTCTTCCCTCCCTCGAACTCAGGGCGATCCTTTTGCTTCAGCCTCCCACCTGAAGTCTTAAAAACACATCTGAGCCTGGACATGCCAAGCACCTGCAGCCCTAGCTACTTAGGAGGCTGAGGCAGGACAGATCGCTTGAGCCCAGAAGTTTCAAAGCAATACAAGCAAGACCCTGTCTCAGTCCACAAAAACAGAAACAGAAGAGTGGATGCAGATTTCTTTTCGTTTTCTTTCTGTTTTGTTTTTTTTTTGTTACCAGGGATGAAACTCAGGTCCTTGCACTTGCGGGGCAGGTGGCGGAACCACTGAGCTACATCCTCGGCCCCAAGCAGATTGCTTCTAAACTGGAACCTCTCATGCTTTTCCATGGCCTCACAAGGCCTGGCTGCCTCCCTCTCTGTCCGCCTTCCAGCATCACAAGGCCCTTAGCTGCTCTCTGCCCAGAACACTGCTCCTTCCCGTACCACACACTGGCCAGTGCCCGGCCTGGCCTTGACGAGGCCCTCTGCCACCTCCCCGTGGGTTTGTTTAGTTGCTATTTTTCCATCTCTCGAAGAGACGCTTCCCCTGGTGCGGTGCAGTCTGACACCCAGGGTGAGTGCTGCATGAGTGATTCTGGACGGCCACGGGCCTGGCCTGCCGCCCCCTGCCTGACTCCGCCTCGCCAGCCCTCCACGCCCCACACCCCGCGCTTCTCTGCCTGGAACAGTCTGCTCTCGGCCTCATCAGCACAGGGCTCTGCTCAGAACTCTTCCCCCAAAGGTCTGCAGGGCGTCGCTTTCCTCAGCAGCCTGGACGCCCTCTCCTCCACTCCAGGCTTTGCTGGGCTGTGGTGCCGGTGCCGAAAAGGCCAGGTCTGTGCCTCTCTTGCTTGTCGCTGTAGCCCCAGGGCCTACCCTGGGACTTCAGGTTTGTCAGTCAACTGTGCTAATGGTGGAGACCGCCACGTTCCCAGAGAGCAGTGGCTGCCCAGGGCGGCCCAGGCAGGGGCAGAGGCAGGGCACAAGCCAGCCAGAAAGACGCTGGGGTGAGGACAGCCTCACAGGGGGCTATGGCGAGGATCCAGGGAAACGGGAGCCTGGCAGGCTTCCTGGGCACGATGCTGCAGGGCCTCGCTGCATCCCCTTCGTCCCCCTCACTCCTGGTGGGATGCTGTGGGCACACTGGGCACATTGGCAGCACTGCTGGGAGAATCCCCAAAAGGAGACAGAAAAGGGGCCGTGCCGAGGACTCACCCCTGGTTCCTCTGCCCTCCAGCAGCCCTCTGGGTGGCCACCCTGTCCCACACTGGACTGGTCTTGCACCCCCTCCTCCACGGAGCTCCCCACCCTGGCTGCCAGCTTCCCGCCCCTGTGACAACATGCTTGACATAAACAACTTAAAGAAGGAGAGGCTGATGGGGGCACAGTGTGTTTAGAGGCTTCAGTCCAAGGCTGGCTGGCTCCAAGGCAGGCAGGAAGGTCAGGCGGAAGGGCGTGGCGGAGGGAAGCCACTCACCTCCTGGCAGCCAGGAAACAGAGATAAAGAGCCAAAGAGGCAAGGCCAGGACCTGATCTGGACCAAGGCATAGCCCCATGACCCACTCCCCGAGACAGACCAAAGCCCCTCCCAGGACCATCGGTGTACACCCTCATGGATGAGCCCGCGGAAGAAGTCAGAGCCCCATGGTCCAGTCACCTTCCGAAAGCCCCTCTCCCCACACATGGGACTTGGGGGACATTTTAGATCTGAACCCTCAACAGCATCCTGGCTGTGAACACCTTTGCTGGGCCTCCCTCTCCTTCACCCTCTGCAGCTCAACCACTAACAAAAACTTACTGCGTTCCCTTCTGTCCCCAGGGCCACCACTTAGCACAGAAACCTAGTCCAGCGACACCTGCTAAGTGCTGGGTCCAGGCCCTGACCCCAGCACATACTCACCAGTGGGATGAGGTCACGCAGCTTCAACGTCCCCCACGCATTCCCCATCCAGCCAGGGCCCAGGGCCACCAGCTTCCAAAGCCTGTGCTTCCAGCCTGCCGGCCCTCTGAGGATCGCTCTTGGATTTGTCTTTTTCATAGTACTGGGGGTTGGACCCAGGGCCTTCATACTGAGCTCCAGCCCCTTCTACAACGTCGCTATATTGTCCAGCCTGGGCCACAGCTTGTGATCCTCCTGCCTCACCCTCTGGGAGTGCTGGGATGACAGGACTGAACCACCACACCAGCCTGTCTTGTTTTTAATCACACTACTCTCAGACTGTCCTCCTGCAGATCCTCCTTGAGAAAGCACCACCACCTCATCACATCTTTAAAACCCAGCCCCTGGAGTGGGTCCAGGGCAACAAGAAAGGTGTTCTGCACTGAGAGTCCACCTCACCCCAGAAAGAATGGCTGCTATCAAGAAATCAACCAATGGGCTGGGGATTTAGCTCAGTGGTTCCAGTGCCTGCCTCGCAAGCGCACGGTCCTGAGTTCGATCCCCAGTACCAAAAAAAAAAACCACACAAGAAATCAACCAATGACAAACGCTGGCAGGGCTGTGGGGAAAGAGGAACCCTGCTCCACCGCTGGTGGGAGTGTAGACTGGGGCAACCACTGTGGAAATCAGTGTGGAGATACCTCAAAGAACTAGGGCTGGAGGTCCCATTTGACCCAGCTATTCCCCTGCTGGGGATCTTCCCCAAAGAATTAAAAGAATCATACCACAGTGATATAGGTGCACCCATGTTCATAGCAGCACAGTTTGTAATAGCTAAAGCTTGGAAAGACCCCAAGTGCCCATCAACTGGAGACTGGATAAAGAAAATGTTTCTTTTTTTATAAAATGGAGTACTACTCAGCCACAAAAAATGAGAAATTAGAGACATTTATAGCTAAATGGATGCACATTGAGGCGATACTCTTAAGTAAATAGGACACATGTGTAAATACCGAAGTTTCTCTAGTGTGAGAAACTGAAAGTGTGAATAAGGACTAAAAGGTATAATAGATAGGTGAAATAGGAAAAAAAGGGGCAAAGGGGAAAGGGAAGTGGGAGGGGTAGGAGAAAGGAAAGAAGGGAATGGAATATGAGAAAATGAAAAAATGGAAACAAAGTCTTTGTTAATAGGGAGGGATGGAGGGGTTGAAGGGAGGGCAGGGGAAGGGGGAAAAAAAATAAGAACCAAGAGTATGTAAAGGTACAAATTTCCAATGATGAGTGTAACTATATTGTATACCTAACATGTACCAATAAAATACAATTTAAAAAAAAAGAAAAAGAAAGGTGTTCTGGGCTTGGTATGTTTTTTTGGAACAGGGTCTCGCTATATAGTCTGGGCTGGCCCTGAACTCATGGTGATCCTCCTGCCTCAGGCTCCCAAGTGCTGGGTTGACGGCGTGTGCTGCTACACCTGGCCTAACAGGTAAGGCTTACCAAGCGCTAGCAATGAGCAGAAAGCCACACCCGTAAGGGTTTGTTAATTTTCACTTGGAACTGTCATTGTGCCCACTGACAACCAAGGAAACTGAGGCACAGGGGGCTTATTTGCCAAGTCCACCGAGTTAGATTTAAACCTGTCTCCTGGTCTTTTCCTTTTTCTTCTGACACAGGGTCTTGCTACCTAGTCCAAGCTGGCCTCAAACTCGCAGCGAGCCTCCTGCCTAAGCCTCTGGGATCACAGTCCTTCGCCAAGCCTGGCTCTCGTGTTCTAACTACTTCAGAAAACCGCCTCAATCAATGCGTGCTGGGGTCTAAGCCAACGACGGTCTCAGAGGCCTAGGGAACAGGGCTGTCACACAGGCCCGGCGCCGACCGGGAGTCCCCGGGCCGAGTGGGCCTCTGCCTGGCAGGGACCCGCGCGCGCACGTGCTCCGAGGGCGGCGGCGGGAGCGGCTCTGGAGGTGCGGCCGGCGTGGGCCCGGAAGCAGGAAGGGCGAGCAGGTGTGGTCAGGGTCTGGGGCGCGGGAGCGCGGGGCTAAGGGCCGCGGAGGGGGCGGCGGGCCGGGCCCGGGGCTTGGCGCCCGCCTGGTACACACACGGCCAGGTAGCGGGCAGCGGGCAGCGAGGAGCGGGAGAGGCGGGGGCGGCACGCCGGGGGAAGGGCGGCGTGGGCCGGAAGGCGACCGGAGCGGCAACCGCCGGCGCTCGCTTTCGACGCCACCGCGGCCCCGCCCCCGACGGCCCCGCCCCCGGCGCACCGCGCAGCTCACCTTGAACGCTGCCCCGCCCACCGCTGTCCCATTGGGCCGAAAGGCCGGGATGGCACGGCGATTGGCCAGCCCGAACCCGAAGCCCCACCCCTCCCGCTCGCCGGTACTTTGGACGGCGGCGTGGCGCCCCGCCCCCCGCCGGTCCCCGCCCCCCGGAGCCAATGCTGCCGAGCCGCGGCCGCGGGGCAGAGGCACGCGCGCGGGCGCTTCTCTCCGGCGCAGGAGGCCGCGGGGCGCGCGAAAGCGAAAGGAGGAAGAGGAAGGGCGGGGGAGGGCGGGGTGTCGCGGAGGGGCGGGAGGCGGAAGAGGGGGAGTCCGGCGCGCGCCCGCGCCTGGCCCCGCGCCCGCGCGCAGGCAGACCCGGG